CACACACACACACACACACACACACACACACACACACACACACACACACACACACACACACAAACAGTAGAGTATAACAATCTGAGAGGCTCCCAGCTCAGACTACTTGGAAATGGACAGCTCATAAACGAGATCTTTAATCATTTAATAACCTGCAAGGGTGACACCTGTGTGAGGTGTCAGCACAGATGGCACAGGACACCGGTTATGTTGAGTTTGTGTGTTTAAAAATCTGACCCAATCTTCCTAATCTCTACCTCCCAAGTAGTTAGGATTACCGGTATAAGCCACTGTGCCCAGCTAGGACCTGAGTTCTTTGAACCTCAAACCCTGAGTATCACAAAGCTGTCATACAGGATTCTTAAGGGTGTCTATGAAGCATGTGGAGCTGCCAATACCTGCAGTGGGAAGTGAGGGTTGTCCCTAAGTTCCTGCCACTGTCTCATGTAATCCATATGACAGTCTTACAAAGGAGGGAGCAGACCTCCATTTAACAGAAAAGGCTGAGGCTAGAGGTGGGGGGGCAGGGGGGGGGAACGCAGTTGCTCAAGTCATTCAATGAGGAAATGAAAGCCACAAGGTATTCCCAAGTGACCCTGGCCCCGATGGCACCTGTGCTGGGTAGTCTTCTGGCAGAATCCAAGGAGTTTCAGTCTGAACGGCAAGTGCTTCACAGTCTGCAGAAAGGCCAGTAAGTTTACTAACAATCAACGGGTCCCTTTGTTTCTGCTTCTGATCAACAAATGCCTTTGCTTCACCCCGGAATTCACTCAACAGCACAGGGCCTTATGTGGTAACAAGGTCTGCTGATTTGGAGCTGGAGTGTCCCCCAAAGGCTCATGTGCTCAGGAATTGGTCCCCAGCCTGGGGCACTATTGGGAGGGTGGGGAGGGGAACTAGAGGGGTGCCCTTGAAGGGGGTTTTGGACCCCAGCCCTTCCGTCTCTCATTTGGCTCCCCAGCTCTGTGCTCTGGACTTGCCATGCAGTGACTCAGCAGTGAAAATAAAACAGATGATCCTAACCTAATGACAACCTCCATGCCCTGCAAGAGGACTAGGTGTCAGGTGCCCTGGTGGGGCAGGGCACAGCTGGTGCTCAAAAGGGGACTCCTGCAGGGATAGCTGGGACTGCACCCTTGTGTGAGGCCCAACTTACACATCCCCTTCACCCACCAACCTGAGCCTAATCCAAAGAGCTCACAAGGACTCCTGGGCACACACACCTGAACTTGCAATCCTCCTGCCTCAGTGCTGGGATTACAGCTTTGTGCCACCAGGTCAGACAACTAAATCATATTTTACAGCATCCTTTTTCGTAGGGTTGGTGGGGTTCCTAATGGCTGTCATCAAATCCATTATCCTTACCAAAAAAAAGGATGCAGTAGAACAAAGAACAGCCAAGACCCACAGTGCGGAGGTTCTGTGGCACTCCAGGAAATGTCCAGTCAGCAGAGCCCAAATTTCAGACAGGTGTGGTGACTTGCAGGGAGGGTGCAGGGGAAGGGAGCTCACCTGCTTCATTTCCTGTGGGGTGTACAGCATGGTCCTGATGATCATCACTCGGTCCAGCAGGTCGAGAGGGATGCCGTGAGGAGAAGTGATGTCCTCAGTGCCCCTGCAAGGGGAGATCACCCGTCACCAGGCTCTGTTATATAGCACTGGACACCCAACATGCGGATGGAGGCCATCACACCACAACACAGCTAGTTAGTATCCCAAGAGAATCAGAACCAGGACCCGAGCAAACAGACTGGCTTTTGGTGCCCAAGAAAATGCCAGCATTATCCTAGTCACTGTCAGTATCCTGGAAAACGTGAGGAAAATGAGAGAGAAACAGCAAGAACCACTGAGAAGTCATCACTAGGTCCTTTTACAAGTCACATATAATTTCTGCTTTATCTATGTTGCTTGGGTCCTAATAATCACGTGTAACATCTACTTAATTCCCAGCAAATAGTTTGCTGAGCATTTGGCAGTTTCCACTGTTGCCGTTATTTTTATTACTGCCCCAGGAAACAGGCCACAAACATCACCATGAGACCTTCTCAGACCCACAGGGGTCTGACAGGACCTAATTTCTGAATGAACGCTGGCCTGATCTCAGCAGCACGGCCAGGCCTAAGGATTCTGATTCTTAAATATTTTGCTGCTTTACCTGGGCATGGGGGCTCACACCTGTAAACCTAACTATTTGAAGGCTGAGATCAGGAGAATCTCAATGTGAGGCTAGCTTAGGCAAATAGTGCATGAGTCCCCCATCTCCAAAATAATCAGAGCAAAATGGACAACAGGTATGGCTCAAGCAGTAAAGCACCTGCCTTGCAAGCATGAAGTCCTGACTTCAAACCCCAGTCCCACCAAATGGGACTACTTTAATGGTTTAGAAAAAGAAGAAAAAGTAACACCTTGTTTCTATTTGCATTTTCTTGGTTACTAACAAGGCATTATTTCACTTATTTTTGAGAACTATGCAAAAATGCATACTAATGGGGGAAGGAGGGGATAAAGGAGAATGATGGAAGGGATGAATTCAACTATGATATACTGTATGAACTTTTATAAATGTCACAATGCACCCCAGTACAATATGATAATAAAAAAAATTTAAAAAGAAAAGAATGCAGACTATGCTCATATCTAACTAATATGACAAAGAGCAAGGCAGGCATGACATCTGGATTCAATTTTTAATATCACAATAACTAATTTTTATGAATCTGCTGAAATTCTAACCATCGGCTGAAATATAAATGCCTGTTTATTAACACACATGTAAAATGAAAATAAAGTATGTGCTAGCACTGGAGAAACCCTGAAAACACCCTAAAACCAAAGATGTCAGACACAAAGGCCAGGAGACATACGATCCCACCCACAGTCTCAGTCACAGAGATAGGCAGGACGGTGGTGCTGAACTGTCACAGGGCTTGTGTTTCTGACATGATGAAAGGTTGGAAACAGACAGTAGGGATGTATGTAGAACACTGCGACTGTAATTAATACTAGTGAACTACACGCCTAAATGGTTAAAATGGTAGTCTGTATATTATGTACACTTTACCACAATGGAAACAATTAAAAAAAAGATAAGGTAGAGTGTGCATAGCAAGCCTAGGCCGTGGATTCAATCCCCAGCGCCTCCCCCAGAGAAGAATAAAATGCACATTTAATAATTGATAAATCTATTGTTTAAAAATAAGATCTTTCAAGATAAATAGATAAACAGCTAGAGACAGCATCTATTTCCGGCAATTTTTTTTTTAAGTAACAAGTAAGAATTATAAAGATGAAACTCTATCATGATTCAAATCTCAGTACTTGGTGTGTCTGCATCTTCAAGACAAAGTAACCTTTAAAACAGTGCATTCTAGTTACTGAATTCCATGTAGGCCATTTTTTGAAGTTTTATTTGGGAGTTCTTTTGGGAATTCTGAGGAAAGCTTAAAAGGATCAACTCTGTCATGTTAAAATATCCCAAGAACAAAAATATCCAAAATTCCACAACACTCATTATAAGTCATCTTTTATTCGACATGAGAAGAAATACAAGAAGTTTTGGAGAAAAGGTTAGTGAAAAATGAAGAACTCCCAATCAAACTTTTAAAAAAGTGGAATTTATAGGAATGCAGTAAGAAACCTTTTTTTTTTTTTGGGTGGTACTGGGGTTTGAACTCAGGATCTTGGGCTTGACAGGTAGGCAACTCGACCCATGCTCCAGGTCCGTAAGAAACTTTCTTATAATTTTCAGTCTTTAAACTAAAAACTTAAGCCAAAAGTCTATTAAAAGCTGCTAAGGGAGGCTGGCAGAGTAGCTCAAGTGGTACAGCACCTGCCTAGTAAGCATGAAGCCCTGAGTTCAAACCCCAGTACTGGCAAAAAAAAAAAAAACAACTAAAAACATACACCACAACAAAGCAGCTTGCTAAGGACTGCTGAACCCTTTTCAGGAATTAAAGACAAAGCACTTTTTAGATTTGTCTAAGTTATGTACCTCAAACACAAGGTTTCTTCTAGAACGCATCTTGTGGGAGACTGTCTGCAGAACTCTACCCACCTAGGCAAGAGGGTCGGTGTCGCTGCCAAGCGGCTGGGTGAAACCCCACCTACCACCACACATGCACAGTCCAGTGCTAGGGCACTAGAACTAGATATTCATATGCCAAAGAATAAAGCTGGATTGTTCCTTATACTATCCACAAAAATTAACTCAAAATGGATCGTAAACTAAACTAAAAGGTACAACTATAAATTCCTCAGCGAAAACAAAGGCATAGATCTTTGTGACTGTAGATAAGTCAATGTTTTCTTATATATAGGACCAAATACACAAACAAAAGGAAAAGCAGATAAATCGGTCTTTAAGATAAACTGGAGGGTTTTGCTGTTGTTTTTTTTGACTGGGGGGGGAGGGGGTGCTGGGGATTGTGCCCAGGAGCTTTGTGTGCAAGGCATGCACTCCACCACTGAGCTGCACCCCAGCCAATAAATTACAGAGTTTTAAACCAAAATTTAAAACTTGTGTCAAAAGACACTGTCAAAACATTGGGGGAAGAAAATATTCACAAATCATATATAGATGATAAAGGTCTCGCATACAGAATGTATAAATAATGATTTCAATTCAACAATAAAAAGGCAAATAATCTGAATAAAAAATGGACAAAGGATATGAACAGACATTTCTCCAAAGGTATACACAAATGGCAATAAAACATATAAAGAGGCTCAGCACCACAGTCAGGAAAATGCAAAACAAACGAGCCTCCCTGCACACCACCTGGATGTCTATGACCACAAAGACAGACAAAAACTACGTGGCACATGAATGTTCACAGCAGCATCACCCCTACATCAAACAACCATGCCCACTATTTCCTGCAAGGGGTACTGTTCAGCCATGAAACGTAGGAAGGGACTAGAATGCTACAACATGGACGAACCTTGGAAATATGCTGAGTTGAAAGGAGCGAGTCACAAAAGAACAGATTATATGCCCTTTATGTGACACAAAGCAAATCTACAGCAGTAGAAAGACGACTAATAGTTGCCAGGACCAGGGAGTTGGGGATAAATGTGGGGGAAGCAGGGAAACATGGGTAGTGATTGTTAGTGGGCACAGTTTCTTTCTGAGGATGATAAAAATGTTCTAAAAATTGACTGTCATGATGGTTATGAAATTTTGTTACATACTACAAACTACTGAAAATTTCCATTGTTTATTAATTGTATCTCAATAAAGTTTTTTTCCCTTACTTTTCTCTTTTCTTTTCTTTTCAAGCACCACCTGGGGCATCTGCCATGGATCACACTAAATGGAGACCATTCTTTCTTAGGTCCTGATACTTTGGTGCAACAAAGTAACTTGTAGTCAGAAATTCCCACAAAACCTAATCCCAGGGGGCTGTACTGTAAGAGGAGACAAACCTTCCCAGTGTTAGAGCAGCGTCAGCACTGGGCTCCTACCTCACCTCACCACTGGGGAAGTCAGGGGGAGCAGGCAAGAGGGCAGCAGCGCTTTACCTTCCACAGCTGGAGACACCAGGAGCAGGAGCAGGTGTTCCTCATGAAATGTCTCCTGCATGTCCTGTCTATAAGAAGCGGTGACCCAGAGGACCTGGGGCAGCTTGCCAAGGTTAGACGGGCCCATGGCAAGGTCACACAACTTGCTGGGTTCTCAGAGGTTCCTGAGACCAAGCCATGCACTGGGCAAGGCAGGCAGGGCAAGGGACCCTCCCAAGGGTAAGCACTGCAGGCCTGGCCTGGCTGGGGACCATGATACTGCCCATTTCTAAGCTCCGCATAATTCTACAAGAAAGACGCTGACATTCTCATTTCCTGATGCAGAGGTCAAGGAGCTTGCCAAGCTCGTGAGCTTCCCCATGACTCCAGTATCTGTCATTTTTCCGTGTGGGACCCACATGGAGAATGGCCTAGTGCAGAATTCATACCCCAGGAGATACATGGCCAGCAGGAGCAAGCTCACTTCTGAGGCTCAGCCCCCAGAAGTCATTTGCACAGAGGGCTGGTACACTATGAGACGCCAAGAAGGCAAAGACAGGCACGCGATCTGGAAAGGACACTGCAATGACTGCATCTCCACAGTGATTTGCTGTCAGAGCTGACCTCCCATGGATGCAACTCCATGCAGTGCCATGCTCCAAGCTCGATGCCCATTCGCTGTCCAGGGACCACTGGCAAGTGGGTGGGAGAGAAGCGAGCATGGGTTTTACAGCCAGCCGCCCCTCAGGATGGCCTGAGTCAGGCGATAACCTCACCTGTCCATAGGTGTTCTGGTGTCCCACAGAGAGAGCCCTCAATGAATGCCCTTTCCCTTCCCCTCACTTCCCTTTTGAACTCTCGAAGTCAGGTTTGTGGTCTAGGGGTGGCATCTGTGGGCAGCATGTCACATGTTGCTCCAATTGTAACCAAACCTTGTTGAGAGCCTGGGCTCTGGACTCCAATGCCTGATCCAAATCCCAGCCTTGCTCCTGAGCTGTGGGCACTCTTTGCCTCCTCCCCCTCCTCTTGTGAACCACGAGAATGCTTGTTCCTCCTCACCAAGTATGGGTGAGCAGCAGTATGCCTGACACACAAGTCAGTCACCATTCTCATTTCTCTGTTGATACTACTGTTACTACAACAGATTTCCCAGAATCCTTTTTTAGAGCTCACATGGCTGACCAGAACTTTGACCCCACTGGGCAGGTCTTAGATCAAAGCTTCTTTCTCCTGGTCAGATAGACAGAGTGACCTGGTTTCTGGGGATAAGACAGAGGGACCTACCTGGCTTCTGCTGGCACCTGGAGGAAGGGAGTCTGTTAGCAGAGCTCCCAGCAGGGGATATCATGTGTCTAGCCCCCAGTTGCCTGGTGACCATGCTCCAGAGCAGCACTGGCCTGGACCTGACTTAAGCAACCTTCCCCAAGACTGCAGGAAGCACATGTAACTGTGGTCTATGCAGACAACATCCAGGGATTCAGAGGGACTGGGATGCTGGTCAAGTGGAGGAAGCTGACCTGTTGTACTGTGGCACTCATACCACTGGACAATGCCTTTGGGGACCAACCAGGGCCAGCAACCCAGGTTGTGGACAATTCTAATAGAGACAAAGGTTCTCAATCCAGAGCCAAGGAAACTCTTACCTAAGGTCCACCACCATTCAGAGGCAAGTAGAAGCAAATCAGCAGTCTGATTTCCAGTTCAGTTGGCTCTAGCATCCTGAATACTAACAAGGTCTTTTTCCAATTCCCACTGCCCTACTGCCATGAGTACGCAGCCTCAGGGGCTCTGTTCTACACCACCTTGCAAAGAATCCCTTCATGCCCCCAGCACTGCAGAGACCAAGCCCAGATGTTCAAATGGAACCACAGAACGCCCAAAGAACAGCACATATATGGAGCACCAGGAACACTGTCACTGGGCTTGAGAGAGTGAAGTTGGTATGTTCTCTGGGGCTCAGGGACTCAGAGTTTTTCAGAGAAACAGGAATCCAAAGAGTCCCAAGTTCCAGCTCTGAGTGCACACTGGCCAGGTGCACACCATATGAGCACTCACCGTGAATGGGGCAACTCTGCCTCTCAAAGGCAGGCCTTGGGGAGGAGGATGGAAAGGAACCGCTGTCTCAGAAAATGTCTGGATCAGAAAGACCTGGCTCTTTATGACAAGGGGCAAATTACAGTGCAATTTAGTTTCCGTATTTGAAAAGTGAAGCCAATCCCTCAGAAATAACAAAAGGATGGAACAGGCTGACATACGAGATGTCCTGCAAGGCAAGCCCAGTCTAGCCTTACCTTTGCACATTCCAACTGAATGACCAAGTCATAACACCTCACTGTCACCCCAGAGACCACGTGGGAGAGTGAGCATCGTTGGTGACTAGGATGACATGAAGCTGGATGTGAGCTCTGTGGTGTGTTTCCTCTCAAAATCAACATCACCCCTCCCTCTTGTTCCCATGTGGGACACATCAGAGGTTCAGCAATCTGAGGAGTGAGGAGCCGGGTGAGGAGGGTCACCAGCCCTACCTGATGACACAGTTGCCTCGGTTGGATGCAAAGATGACAATGGGGGCGATGGAGGACTCCAGGGCGCGGTGCAGGTAGGTGAAGCACTCAATATCCAGCATGTGTACCTCATCCACAAACAGCACGCCTGGAACCAGCTCAGCAACACCCTGGTCAATGTACTTGTTCACCACCTTGTTGATCTCCCCTCGAAGCTTGTCTGGGAGACAGGAAAATAGGCAGGTGAGATCAGCAGCAGAGCTGCTCCAACCTGAGTCAGTCCATGGAGTCTGGTGTTCCCTCTAGCTATGTGACCCCAGGAAAGACCCAGCCCCACACCAGGCTCAGTGTCATCATCTGAAATAGAAACAGTCTTACCTAGGGTCACATCCCTAAGGATGTGCTTGGCTAAGCTTGCAGGACAGCTCTGACAGTGCTCTGCAAAGGAGGGCGGCCCCCACAAACTGGTCTGTCACACTCTTCTGTGCCTTATTATTTCACTCCCACCCAATCTAGCTCCTGGCCTGATCTCTGAGACATAGGGAGCCCTGGGTGACATGAGTTTTCATATGCAAATTCTCCTGTCCTATACTCAGTAAAGGACCCTTTTCGTGGCCCCAGTATGACAATGCTTAGGTTAATTAACTTTCAATCAAGTACAGTTAGCATCCTCTCTGGGGGAAGCTGGGAAGGAATGAAGACTGAAGAAAAGCTATTCTCAGCGCTCCAAAGAATGAGTCTCAAAAGTTACAGAACAAGCCAGGTCACAGCCCTCACTTTCCAGCCCAGGAGGGAGCTGCTCACAAAGACAACACAGGAAGACCTGATGCAGTCTTCCAGCACAGCCTTTAGGCAGCAACTGTCAAAGGAGGGTACACACTCAGCACCATGTCTCAAGACTGCAGCTGCTCCTGACCACTCTGGTAGAAGGTCTCACTCAGGCTGCTGCTCCATTCTCCAAGGTCACATGGCTTTAATGTTTAACTCACATTTTAAGGTAACAAAGCTACAAGTGGTAATGTGGCAAAAGAGGACACAGAAGTTGGGAAGACAAGCAGGGTAAATAGCAGTGTTTCCTGTGGAGCCCTGGATGGGGTGATGGAGCTGCTCCATGGTCTGCTTGGGTGACAGCAGAGTCAACACACTTCTGGCTCCTCAAAGGGAACAGAAATTGACCACACAGGGCCAGAGAGCACACAGTGGCTGACAGAGAAAGGACAGAGTCAAGCTCTGAGCTCAGAGGAAGGACACTGATCAGAGGCAAGTCTTGTCCTAGTACTTTGGTCACAGAGCCTCACAGAGCATGTCAGAATCCAATGCCCCCAGCTCTGCTCCAGGGTCACCAGCTGTTTCTCTTACCTGTGATTTCTGTCTTCTTTGGCTTCATTAACTGGCCCATCATGGAGAGGATATCTTGTCCCCCCTGTGAAAGAGAAGACTTAAAGAGTCAGTTATGCTTTCTTCGGAGGCTGACAAAGCCTCATTTCCCTGCTTCCTATGGGTCGCAAATGTTGACTAAACTTGGGGTCCTGCAGTGGGGATACTCCAAAATACCTTCTCTGGAAAGCCCGAGGAGCTTCTAAACCCAGAAAAATTTTTAGAGGCTACTCCTGACTTGTAAGAACCAAATTCTTTTCATGGCAGGTATAAGCCCAGGAGGGAGGGTACCCCACCTCCTGCCCTAGCCATTATCCTAGACTAGCCACAAGTGACTATGAGCCCTTCCCTAGGCCTCAGCCAGCTCTTATGTTGCAATGCTTTGGTGGATTCTGTTCTATCTGCCAGGAATGCATTTCTTTCCAGGAAGCTCCCATTTTCCATTAAAGATCTGGTCCAATGACCTCCGTGGGGCTTCTGCCTTGGCAACAGAACGAGCCAGGTCACAGCCCTCATTTTCCAGCCCAGGAGGGAGCTGCTCACAAAGACAACACAGGAAGACCTGATGCAGTCTTCCAGCACAGCCTTTAGGCAGCAACTGTCAAAGGAGGGAGTAAGCGTGAAGGTGCATCATAATCACATTCCAATGCTTCTTTCATGGGTTGTCCCTCAAGAATGGCTGACTTGCTAGCATGCTTACCATCAACTGCATCTGGTGGACCAGAGACACAGAGGTGTTCACTAAACATTAACCAGTTAAAGGGAGCTAATGTGTTCTGAGTACTTACATCCAATCTCCAAAATACCCCTGCTGGGGAAGAAAACACTCAAAACCAATGAACTCTTAAATCACAGAAAACCTAGAGGCCCAAAATGACAAATCAGCCAAGCTAGTTGGTGACAGTGACATAGTTCCTGATTTCTGAGCCAGCACTCTGCCCAAGACAAAAGCATCTAAGGAGGTCAGTTTGGAGTTCCACCTTCTGAGGGGACCTGGTGGTCCAAGGAACAACTGTCAGCAATCTCCTTACCAAAGCTCCAAGGAACAAACACTTAAGGATCAAATTCATTCCCTGCTGGTAACGAGTGGCCTCTTAGGCTGAAGGTGGAACCAAAATGAAGGGCCAGCAGGTGTGCTTTGTGTCTCTTAATCACACATGGCTCAGAAGGCATAAAGTGATGACGTACTTTCCTACATGTATTCAAGTACATTTAGTCAAGGTATAAGCATCTATCAGCCGTCTAAAGGAGTAGGCCATGGTTCCAGCTCAGAGCTAACACAAGTGGGGACCTGGCCAAGTGGAGGAAAGACACAGAACTGTCAGAGTTTCTGAAACCCTGTGAAGGGATCATAGAACACTCATGTCTTCCCACCACTGACACCCAAAGAATCCAGGCACATGAGCCTATTGTTGGACAGGAGCCATGGAGGAAGCTGGCTAGCTCTGGGCCAGAAGCTTAGCTGGGACAAGAAACAAAGCCCATGAAACCATCTGTGACTCATGCATTTGAATTGGAACAAAGGAGTCCCATAGCTCATGTTGATGTTAATTGTTGAACATCACAGAAAGAAAAAGACTGCCCGCCTTAGAGGTGGCAGCAAGAGCTTCCGCACACACATGAAAGACATGGGCAGGTCACCCAGGCGCTACAGTACTACCTGGGGCCGCGCATTGGCCACATCCAAATCATGCAAGGTCACATCCTGGATAATTTCTTTCTTCTTGTGCACGTCCCCCTTAGGTAAGGGGACGTACTCTTCAGCTTCAAGGTCAAATTCTGTGGCATAGGTGTCACACCTGCCCTGCCTCTGCAAAGAGAGAAACATGAGTGCCTGGTGAGTTTTCACTGCCATGTCCCCAAATGGCAGAGTACTAAGTGAGATAAAGGTCTCAGTTCCCAACTGCGCCTGACAGCCTAGCAGACAAACCCCAAATGTGCCCACTCCCCCAAATGTGCTCACTTTCCTGCTGCCAAGAGAAGGAAGCTATCTGCTAATCACTGCACTCAAAAACCCGGCTGGAGACACCGGATACTTTCTCCCAAGAACCCGCCCCTCTCCTCCTCTTAACTGTACACATTCCCGATAAAGGGCAAATCCAGCAGATTAACTGGAGACAGAGGGAGCTGCTCAGACGCTTTTGTAGGTGGATGATTTATTGTATGATATGAAGTATTATGCTCATCCATTAAACAGTGAGGAGCACTGTACAGGACACTGAAAATCAGATAAAAAAAGAATGCCAACTAATGCAGCGTTTCTTCCCACATTGCATATATCTTGGGAAGAAAATACTAAAGAGATAAAGGAAGATTAAATACACTGCACATTTCAATTTGAAAATGACTAAAGTTGTTTTGGTTTCCCACCCTGTACTCCCCCTCTAGAAAGGTGTGTTTTCCCAACAGACTGTCTGTTTTAATCACGAGAAGGTTAAAGGAAGAAAGATAAAGGAAAGCAAACTTTCCTGTGCATGAGGGGTAACTGCTGCCCTTGGCACCACATCGCACCAAGTGCCAGGCCTGCTGCACACCTGCAATGGCTGAAGAAAGCAGCTCCTGTCACCCAGGTCCTCTCATGGTTAAGGCCTGGTGCCTTTTCCCAAGGAAGGCATTACCTACCTTCACAGCCCCACTATTGGCTTCAATGTAAATCACATCTCCAGCCTCCACTCGTTCTTTCTGCAAACTCTCAAAAATACTGGGGTCCAGCTATAAAGAAGAAAGAAAGAAGGGTGACTTAAGAGAGCAGCAACACACCCTTCTCTCTGACACACTGAAGGTGTTTCCATAGACCTGACGCAGTGAGTGACTGTGTAAAGTATGTGCACTACAACTTGGGAGAGTGTGAGGGCATGAGTGTGATGCCAGGCTGGGTTAAGGGGCTGAGTGTACCAGGGAGAGAGCAGGAGGGCGGTGACTGCATGCCAGGCTTGAGGAGAACAGAGACACTCTTCTCCTCCTTCCCTTCACTTCAGAGGCTGTAATGGAGCAGAGGATTTTTAAAAGGAGGGCTCCGGCTATGTTCAGATGGGGCCACACTGTCCATGGGAACATCGCCCTAACAACTCTCCTCAGATAGTGTGCTGCCCCTGCTTCACTTCCTCCCTCTCCTCCCACAGGTGGTGATAGGACTTTCTACAAGGGAAATACCTGCTTACCAGGCCGGTGCTCTGCAGGGCTTATGAGTCTAGACACGAGGCCCTCAGCCTCATTTCTATCACAGCACCCAGGTGCAATCACGGGTGTGTGAAATTCAAAAGGAAGCATAAGCCCCAACCCTCCCAAACTTTCAGTGTCAAATCCCATGTTTGTGTCCCTGGGGCCTGCTTGCTGCATTTACAGGAAAGGACAGGAGTATGCCGTGGGTCCTGCTGCTTCTCTCCAGGTCACTCAGATCCAGGTGTGCCCAGAAATAATCTTTTAGAACATCATCCTTTCTAAGAACCTAGTATGTAGACACAAGTTTCTCTAGGTTAAATTCTGAGGAGAATTCTATGCTATAGAATGTGGTTGTGGTGGGAAAAAATTGGGAATTTGTTCCAAACAAAATTAAGACAGTAAGAAATGAGGGCTTGGTGAAAGAAGCCAGACACAAAAGAACACACACAGTACGATTCCATTTATATGAAGTGCCCCGAAAAGGCAAATCTATACTAACAGAGAGTCGATTAGTGGCTACCAGGGGTAAGGGTGGGAGCTGGGAGTGATTATTAGTGGGCATGAGATTTCTTTTGGGAGTAATGAAAATGTTCTAAAATTAGATTGTGGTAATGGTTGTATAACTGTGTAAATACACTAAAATTCCTTAAAGTGCATACTTAAAATGAGTGAATTATATTTAAAATTGTAACTCAATAGAGCTGACAAAAAACAACCAACACATTTGCAAACCCCAGACTTGGCCTCTCTCTGGCACTGGTGGATGGGGACTGATGGCCTCTGGGTGGCACTGTGTAGCCAGAGAACAACAGCTGGTAAATCCCCAGGGCAGGTCTGACAGGAGAGAAGGCAAGGACCATGCTAATGACATTCTCCTTGCTGAGACTTACAAGTGTCCTTCGAACTTAAACATCCATCAAGTATTTGAAGTCCTTCTTTCCTGCTATCTTGCACATATGCTAAAATTATCTAGAAGTATTCATTTTGGAAGAAAAAGTTCATCTTTTTCTTTATGCTATTTTCTTAAAAGAAAATGTGCAAAGCAACCTTATACATAGCTCAAATTTAAACTGCATGCCCTTTTAATATGATACATTGAAAAGTATACTTTCTTTTTGCCTCAAGCATTTTTATGCTGGCTAATTTCCCAAATGAGTTGACTGAAGATGTAATTACTGAAAAGGTGGCATACTCTACTGGGAAATCTAATTAATACAAGGATGGAAGCAATGGGGGCAAGTATAAAAGGGATAATTTGCAGAGGCAAGCTCCTGAGATGAAGACTCTGTTCGGAAAAGAAAAACGACCCTTTCAAAAAGTGACATTTTTATGATCCCCATAAAGCAGTGACCAAGAAACAACCTTACAGAATCAAAGAACCATAAAATTGCAGAAAGAAGTGAAGATGGAGAAATTGCATGGTTGATCTACCGCAGTTTATAGATGAGAAAACTGAGTCCCAGAAAGCCCATGACTTCCTAACGTCACACAGCAAGCTGGAGGACCCACAGCACAATCGTTAGGACTCTGAGAGTCAACTCTGCCACCTGACAAGCTGTGTGATCACAGAATAGCTGTTTAACCTCTTTATGAGCTTCAGTTGTTCATCTGTAAAGTGAGGGAAATGAGATGTGTACATAATGACGTTATAAACAACAACAAATGAAGTATGTGCCGAAGCAGTGAGCAGGCCTAGCACGAACAACAGCTGACAAGTACACCGGTAGTGCTGTTTATTGACCATCATAGGAATAATAATATTCACAACGCAAAGCCTGCAATCCAGATGGCCTCATCGGTCTCACTGAAGGCTCTCACAGTGCCATCAATAGTACTGCTCATGAGGTAACTAATGCCACACCCAAAGCTACACAGTCCATTCTTATAACTGTGACATAAGCAATTACTGTTCCCCAAAAACAGACAAAGAAATGTCTGCTCAGAAACTGTCACTTTCCTAATGCACACAGCTGTAAGTACCAGAGCCAGGATTCCCTTCAAGACATTGACTCCATGCTCCTCCCCAAGGCATCCTGCTGCCTGCATCCCAAAGGTTTACTGGACAGGTGTACAAGGGTCCTCTAGGGCCATGCACCAAGCCACAGGCAACTGCAGGCTTCCAGCCCAGCACACAGGAGCTGCATGTGGCCCTTCAAGCTGTCTGCTCACACCTCTCACCAGATTCCTTGATGCTGCTGCCTTCTCTGTGCACAGGCCTAGGGCCTTGAAAACACAGCCACAATAAGAGACACTTACCCACCCACATCATGCACCAGACATACAATTTCCTAGGAATAAGTGCCATGAAGCCCTCCCCGGGCCAAGCCTGCACTAAGCACTACTTTATATGCCTAACATCCTCACACTGTATGTGATGTCAACACGCACAGTGCACAGATGGGGAGAGGTCCTACCACAGCCCAGAGCCACCGCGCTCAGAGGTTACGGGAACAGCCACGCACAGGTACTCGCCTTCAGCTGTTTGGTTCCTTTGGCTGTCTTGAGTCCTATGATCACATGGCTGATGGTTTTGCCATACCCTCCCATGGGGTTCTCGGTCTCACATGGAGTTAGCTCTGTCACTTCACCTTCATAAACTTCCTTGGTTTCCTTTATCCGCAGTCCTGGAAAAGGTGGCAGATGAGCCATGTTGAGAAGCCAAATTATCTCATACAACAGATCTTCTCTCCCCCCCCACCACACACACGTGCTCACCAGAGCTCCAAACTTCCATGACAAATCAGCCTTAATAATGTCAAGTCTGTCACCATGGAAGGAAAAGTGATACGAACACACACAAACTGGAGGTGCTACTGAGAAAGGAAGAAAAGTGGTTTATCTCTACTTTTCAAGAGTCTCTCTAGGTTTAAATTCAGAACTAGACAGACAAGCTCTAACTCTCAGAATTGCTTTACAGGCACACCTCCAAGGAAGTGGAATTTAGCTTGAGCTTTACTCTGAAACACAGCACTCTACTCCACCAGTGACTACAAAACTCTGTGTTCTTGTTCCCTGCTTTTCTGACTCTGAAAGGAAAATTTAAAACTAATCAAAATAACTCACTACTCACTTTGACACTCTCAGGCCTGACCAAGGTATGCTATAATAATGAGGGTCTCAGTAACAGACACTGACAAGTGTTCTGGATCCTTGGCTGATCTTCACACACCTCCCAAAAGACATACCAAAGTCGAATGCCAGTTAATCATTCTGTAAACCTAGCTACTTGAGAGCTTGTTCCCCGTTAACAGATGAAGAAATGACTGCTCAGAGACTGTCACTTTTTCCCAATACTCAGATCTACCCAATCGAGAGGATTGGGGTTCGAGGTCAGCCAAGGCAAATAGTTCAAGAGACCCCCCCATCTCCAAAATAAGCAGAACAAAATGGACTGGATGTGTGTACCTGTTTTGCAAGCAAGAAGTCCTGAGTTTAAACCCTGAGGATTAAGGTAGAAAGGAGCCAATTTAGGTTTTATATATATATATATATATATATATATATATATATATATATATGGTGGAAGTACCATGGATTCGTGTATGAAAATAGAACAATGAGACCTTGAAACTGTTCTGAGGGGAGGGGAGGATGAAGGAGAAAGATAGAGGGAGTAAATCTAACTAAGATATATTGTAAGCACTTTTGAAAATGTCACAATGTACCCCTGCTACAACTGTAATATGCTAATATTTTTTTTTAAAAACCCAACCAAAGAAAGTGAACAAAACAAGCAAAAAAAAAAAAAAAAAACCTAACAAAAAAAATTTTAAAAAGAGAGAGAAATACCAAGCTGTCGCTCATCATTTGCAGTAGGTTATTCTGTAATTTTTCTCAAGGTCACAACAATAAAACTTAGTTCCAAAGCACTTATCCCCCACAATAAAAACAT